GAGGTGCAATGATCGGTTGTAGCCTATTCCTGAAGCTACAAAACATTTGATTCCACAAGACATCTTCCATAGCTACCAGTCATCCAAGAGATCCTCCATACAAGATCTTTCATAAGAATGATTGATTTGACAACTCTGCAATAGACACCTCTTAATCAACTTGCTGGTTTAGTTTTTAGATATCGACCTAGGTTTTAGGATTACCATTTTTCAGAATCATTATATGCTATCTGGACAAAGACTGCGAAGTGACACCTATGAGGAGACGAGTCAATTGTTAAGATGAGGTCATGTGTCCTTCATCCATTGATAACCACTTCACCTCTTCCATTATAAAAACTCACGCTTAGTGACATTTATATGTCATGTAATTTTACACTTTCAATAATAATCTTGCTTTGTATTTTCTCTTAAACCTTGTGGCTCACATCTTCATTTCATCTCACATTTAAATATACATTTATAGTCGACTGACTTGAACAATGGAATGCTTGCAGCCGTCTCCTCTACCATTTGGCAGGCTACGTGCATCTGAAGTTTTGTCTTAACCGTGTAGCAGTCTTACACATGAATGTGAGCGAAGTCCGAGATCTGTTAATCATCACGCCCAGTCGGAAACCTCTGTCAACAATATCATCCACATAAGACATTCTATTAATGATACCCACATAATTTACATGTATAGAGAGTGAAATTATAACAAAAACGTAATTTGGTGGTTAAGTTGGAACAAAAGCGTTTGAGTTATTAAAGTGAGCGAGCATGTTTGACTGTCAAAAAATAACATGATTTTTGCCTTTTCTAAAAGTAGTCAAAATTTCACATTTTTAATAGTATTAAAGAAAGTTTTACCAATGAGAGAAAACAACAAAGTTGATCCGAATTTGACCAGTTTTGGGCAAGGAAGCAAAGCCAACATATGTTGCAAGTATAGTTTATAAATGTTATTTAACTTTTTAACATTTTTGAATAATTGATTCTTTTTTAAGTTAAAGTAAAAAATTAATTATTTTAACATTAACCCTTCTTTTACTTAGATGATGAGTGCAATTTTTACACTTATTTAGGTCATCAAAAGTGGATATTTGAGAGTGTTTTTGGAGAATTTACTTAATATTGTAATACCGATTCGATCCAAGCTCTCAGAATTTGATAGGATTCTGTCAAGTGAATCCAATCAAGCAGAATCCTATTTTGCTGCAATGAAAAATAAAATAAATAAAAAAGACATATATCGTTTATTTAGAAAAAAATCGATGTTGGACGGATAAAAAAAAAAAGAATGAAAAATGGGCAAAAACGACGTAATTGTGCATAAACTAGCTATTGGGACCAAATGACATGAATTAGAAGATGGACCGAAGCTGCAAATATTGGAGTGCTTAAGCTGGATGAAAATTTGGAGTCAAGGACCAAAATGCAGTTGGACTGATAATTGAACATTGGATTGCAAGGCCACAGGCTGCGATTGCAAGGGTAGGATATGTAGAAGTAGAGAGCAAATCATGTGTACCATGCAATAGCAGTACACTGTATTGTGGGATCGCATGGTATAAATCGGTGGAAAAAATCTTTTTTTAGCTCAACCGCTTTTTGAAATGCAATGTGACTCACATTTTTGACTTAATAAAAGAGGCCAAATGCATTGTTCTTAACATCACAACTCAGAGAAGAGAACTACGAAGAGATACAACGCAATTAACATCAAAACTAAAGATTTGTTGCTCACAATTGAAGCCTCAAAGCAAGGAAAAATCTGGAATTAATTGAAGAATCAATTGAAGGAATTCAAGGGAGGTTAAAATTATTCTTTAACTTCTCTTTGCAATTATAAATTTGATGTGATGACTTTGTTCGGAAAACGCTACTGAGCAAAATAGAATTTTGGATTGGCAATCTATAAACAAATTAGAACAAGAGATTAATGGTGGAATTGAATTCCTAACACGTTTTTCTCACATAAAACACTTTCAAACTCATCTCTATTTGTATATAGCTAGAATTTAGTATAATAATTAGTGGTTAATACAAAATAACCAAATCATCAATTGTGTTTTCATATTCGTTTTATATCCCTAATTGAAAAAAGTTCAAATTAAAGTATAATACTCATGAAAATGATACTATAAATTTACTTTAAACTATTACTGTCACATTTATGAAATATTACTGATCACTAGCTCTTATTTACTATGAAGAAATTTAGTGCTAATATCTCAATTCTTTTATGTAAAATGTGATTTTGGATCCAAACCCTTAAAAAGTAATTTAATTCTACAACCTAACTAAATATGTACATTCAGCTAGACCGAAGACATCAATGTGGGCATTAAATTATATGCAACTTTCATACAACTTAAAGTTAGATGTCACGTGGTTTAATAAATTTTCCTCCAACTTTAAGTCAACTGAAAGTCACACAACATTCTCGATTTTCGTCACTTGAGAACCCATTTTCGAACATTTAAATAGCTGGGCAACCTCACTTTTAAAGGCTAGGGTCAGGGACTGAGCCAGGCGTTTTGTACTGTGGGGTCAAAAATCAATGTTTTGAAAATCGGCCGACCGGCCGGTTCAACCAAGAACCAACCTCAAATCCGGTCCGGCCTTACATTAACTGGATGATAGAAAACCGGCCAAAGAACCCTAAACCTGAAAATCGGTCACTATTTTTTCCGGTAATATTATTTATTTTTCCAAAAATATTTCAACTATCTTGATGGGCTCACCTACTTTTTTTTCACTAGAAGGCCCAAATCAATTCTTTATTCAAGTGATGCTCTTTTAGCTCCTTTTTAAAGGAGACTCCTCTTGGAATGTTTTAGTCAACTTCCAATGTGGGATACTAGCTTTTTAAAGGATACCCCTCTTCCAATCTTTTAGTGATCTTTCAATGTGGAATACTAGTCAATTGTCTATTCTAAGTGTTTACTAGTTTACTTTATTATTTTCATTAAAAATCATAGCCTCAACTAGATTATAATGACAAACAATATCAATTTAAACAAAGTAAATTATTTTGGACATATTAATTGTTAGTTTTTGATGTTATAAAACAAATTACTATAGTAAATCTAATCAATAAATATGGATTATATTCTTTTTGAATTGGCAACCAAAATTAAAAATCTACTATAGTTATGATAAGGTATAATTTATTTGTGTATTTTTTTATTTAATTTGTCATACGATTCGACCCTTGACCCTCTTCATTTTTCTGGTCGATGTCTGGGCTAGTTTTTAAAACATTGTAAAAAATAATACAATTTTTTAAAACCAAATTTTAACAGTTTAAATTTTAATGACTCTTTGTACAACATCTATGTCAAATAATTTCCAAAATAAAGAAAAATAGGAAGGGATAACAATGAGCCTAAATCCTAATGACAATTAATGGTGCATGGAACAGACTGTAACTATCAAAATTGTGTGCGCCTTTTCTTTCGCTTCTCAATATTTTTTTACCAAAAAAAAAAAAGCAAAATCAGAATTTTTTGTGGGGTCATTTGACCCCACATGACCCCATGTGGGTCCGTCCATGGCTAGGGTCCCAAAACAATGAAATTACACTTTATTTTACAACTTAACTTGGGGTAAATTCTACCGGTACCCGGGGGACTCCAATCTTTTGTGAGTCATCGTTCATGTTCCAAACCTACCATTTGTTGTAAACTTTATACTCATGTCCCCAATTTTAAAAAATCGTGGCGCTCATTTTCCAACAAATAGAAAATGTTTATCTAAACATTAAGTCTATGTTTGAGCCCCATTATCTAAAAACTCTTTTTTTTTGTTTTCAAAAATATTTCGCATGTAAATTCAAAATTTTTCCTACTTTTTTACTGCACATTCTTTAAAAATTCGCTATTACAAAACTCATTAAAAATAAAAATAAAAATGGAGCTCAAACGTAGGCTAAATAACGTGAGTATGGGTTTGAGCAAGGAGATTTATTGCATAAATACCAAGAGCAAGTTTGGCATTTTTTTTTTCGTTTATGAAAGAGTGGAAAATCGATGGTTAGTTTTTTTTTTTTTTTCTATTTTTTTTTACGCTGATTTTGGGTGGTTCTAGATCTACCCAAAATTCCAAAATTGGAGTAATGTAATTTGGTCGTCTTTCTTAACCCACCAAATCGGTGGATTTTTGTCATTTCTCAAATGCTATTTTAATTTTAACCCCTATAAAATAATTATTATTAACCCATGCATTTTGTTCAAAATTAACTTGTAAATCATTGACTGAAATTTTATTCGTAAGCAAAAAATTACTTACAAAATTAAATACACTTTTGTGTAACCAATTGTTTATATAAAAATGCTACTAGTAAAACAAAATTCACTTAATAAATATAACAGTTACCTTTAAGCAAGAAATTCACTTATGTATAAAAATTATTTAACAGTACAAAATGAACTCATAATTATAAAATTTACTTATATGTAAAAAATAACTTACAACTTAAAATTTTATTTATAAGTAAATTACTTTTCAAATTAAAAATTTACATATATATATAAATAAAATATCCCTTATGTGTATAAAAATTTCATATAAGAAACTATAAATTGAAAATTTCACTATGGTTGAAATAATAAACTATTAAGTGCTTGTTTGGTAGAGATTTTTGGGGGAAAGAATTGATTTTTGAATAGTGATATGAAGGGAAATGTGTTGTTGAAAAAGAAGAAAAAATTATTGATGTGAGGGAAAATGTTATTTTATTGAAGAATGTGTGGTTGAAAATGAGAATTAATTTACTGTAGAATTTGAGAATAAATGTAGAAAAAAAAGAGAAAATTATTGATATAATGGAAAATATTATTTTATTAAAGAATGTGTGGTTGAAAATGAGAATTGATTTACTGTAGAAAATAAGAAAAAAAAACAAACAGGCCCTAAATATGAGTTTAAATATTTTCAAATTCATTACTAAAAACCACTCAAAATCAAATTATGCTTTAAAAGGTTGGGACATTTTATCAATGGTAGGAGTAGACATGAGTGCTAAACTAACTAAGGTAAAGGACAGTAGTTAAATTAAAACTTTACTTGTAAGTAAATTTTTTCTTTTTATTTTAAGTTCAGGTGATTATATTATTACTATAATTTTTATTTGATACACCAGATTTGAAAACTCTTCAATCTTTATTTATTGTAGCAATTATTTTTTTCCATCGAATTCTTACCTTTAACCTTCCATTAATTTAGTACGTCTCATCTTGATGATGATTTATCAAAATATTTTATTTTCATGTTTTGAAATTAGTTAAAAATGTTTTTTTTCAATTTTAATTAATTTATTTTTAAAAAATATATGATAAGAAAATAAGTTGTTACGTCATTTTAACGAACTTTTAGATATAAAACTATTATTAAAGTGCCTGTTTGATGTCTTTACTTTTTTGTGTAAGCATGGCCATTACTACTGTCAAATCAGCTTCATGAAAATATTTTATATCTATTTTGTTTGTGTTCCAAAAGAACCCCAAAAGCATCTTTTATTGTCAAATAATTACGATTGATTGTTTGGTAAATTGGGAGTGTTTCATTAATGGCAGAAATGAAAATTTCAATTTCAGCCGTTGGTTCTAAATAAGGAGAATGGATTGTTTGTGAAAAGTTCTTGTAATTTTAAATTAATATATTACTGTTTGGGAAATTAAAAATAGGATTTTAAATGGGGTGCAGGAAATAAAAATTACAGTGAAAATACATTTAAATTATCGAATCATAATTGTGATTTAGTCGCTCCGCGTAAACTGTTTTGGCCGTCCAGGTATTTGTTCTTGCTACAAATTGACTTGGACGGGAATCTCAGAATCTGTTTATCTCCCTCTCAGGTAATAATTTCTTTGCGAACATCGATAATAGATTTCTATATATATATTCATTCTGGTAGGAAGAATTGAAAACACAGAATTAGATACCTGTAATTTCATCTTCGTATCACAATTACAGCATATATTTGTTTATCAAGCTCTGTTTGTATGCAGTCGACGCTTGATTTCGTCATTATTTGATCTGGAACAAATTAGAGTAGAAATAAATAAAATATGGGGTTGATGAAAGCATTAAAAAGTCTTGATGCGTTTCCGAGAGCTGAAGAACACTTGCTGCAAAAGACGAAATCAGGCGCCTTTGGTATTACTCTTTTTTTGTTAATTCTAACATACAATAGCATCAATAATCATAGGTCTATTTGTTCCGTTTGCGCATGTTTTCTGTAATGTATGGTAAATGAAAACCCTTAAAGAGTTAGGATTTAGAGTATGTTTGGCCCCCATTTTGGGGAAATTTTAATTTTTGGAATAATGATTGATGGAAGAATGTATGGTTAAAAAAGAAGGAAAATTTTTTGATTTACGTGTAAGATTATTTTAATGAAAAATGTGTGGTTTAAAATGAGTACTATAGAAAAAATAATGAGAAAAAAAGAGAGAGAATGGGGCTCAAACATAGTCTTAGATTCCTCGTGGAAAGATTAACCAGAAGGAGTAATCGCCCAGCTGCAATTTTCTTGGCTCTCTCAGTACAGACTGATGAATTTGTAGAAAAATCTATTCAAATCTGAAAATTATTCCTGAATTATAAGTTCAGAAAGGTTTCATTACATCCCCCACATGATGATTTCGGCTATTCCTCCTTGTGGCCCTGAGGCTTGTCAAATTTATTTGCTTTATTTTCCGATTTTTAAGTTTTTTAGAGAGTATTTAAATATGCAGAATCCTACAACTGGATGTAAGTTTAGCTTATAAATATTTTATTGATTGACAAAAGGGTACATGCATATTTTATTCCAATACTTGAGAGCTGTAAAGCAAATCTCCCAGGAGCAAATAGCTCTCAACTCAAATGCGCTGATTCATTTATTGGCAAAAATTTCAACTAATTTGTTATCAGTATGAATCTTAGTAGCTATGAAACAAGGCGTGAATTTCAGTTATGTCAAGAAATATAAATTGTATTATATTGTCTTGTTAATATTACAATGTAGAAGACCCTATTTATAGAATTACAAATAACTGTAAAAGGAAATAAAAAAAAATAAAGATTAAACAATCAACTATTAAGGAAAGTAATCCTACACTAAAAAACAATATTATAATGAAAAATATTCCATATTATAAGGAAAGTAAACCTACACTAAAAGGAAAGTAAATATAATCGCAATCTTTGACGATCTCTGTAATCTTATTCAATATCCTTGACATCCCCCCTCAAATTGATGCTGGTAAAAGCATCAATTTGCAATCATGAACTGACAACGATGACGATACTTGTGCCCACGAAGAAGAAATCCAAATCAAAGCAACCAACGACGAAAATGACTGACAACGAGAGACCAAGAACAATAAAGAACTACTCCAAAAACACTCCAAGAATGCTCTAAAGGAAAAACGAGAAACCACCGAAGAAGAGTCACACGTTGACAAAATCAGTCAACCGTGGACGACCAGAAGAAACCCACACCTGAAAGGTTGAGTTGTGACCAAAGAGAATCGAAGATTCAACCACTCCAAAGAAACGATAAGAAACTACGAGAACTCACACACCCCAAGAAGAATTTTCAAAAGAAATTCACGACGTGCGCCGACACACACAGTGAGCTCTACCTGTCGGGAGAACTAAGTCGAACACATAATTCGTGTTTCGACAAAAGCTTTAACGCCAAAACACCGGCCAAAAATCCAAAACCACATAACGATCCACACAACGATTTTTTTTTTTTAAACCTAAAATATGAATCCGTTGACCAAAACCCCGTCGACCCAGAAAAGAAAAAAAATAAACGAAAACAAAAACTCAAGATTGGGCAATTAAATTGACAGAACGAACGAAAACCCTATCGAGACCGGGCGGGAGGAGCAAAAGAAAGCTCCTCCCGCCGTGAGAAAACCTTATCAAGAAAACAAGAGAAAATTTTAAGGAATTGGCTCTGATACCATGTCAAGAAATATAAATTGTATTATATTGTCTTGTTAATATTACAATGTAGAAGACCCTATTTATAAGGTTACAAATAACTGTAGAAGGAAATAAACATAAAAGGAAAGATTACATAATCAACTACTAAGGAAAGTAAACCTACACTAAAAGGAAAGTAAATATAATCGCAATCTTTGACAATCTCTGTAATTTTATTCAATATCCTTGACAAGTTAAATCAGAAAATCAATGAAATTATGCTTTTTGAATGGATATCCTAATACACCGTATGATGGGTTCAATCACTGACTAGAATCATTTTTATGTTCCTTGCTAGTTTCCATTGTTGGGCTGGTAATCATGGCAACATTGTTCTTTCACGAGTTGACATATTATCTTTCCACATATACAGTACATCAGGTTAGTTTTCTTCTTCACAAAGCTATTTAGGTTGTCATATTAACGATGTCTTATTTGTATTAAATGTTCAATCACTGTTTAGCTTTAACGTTTATTCTATACTGAGTTTTAAGTTTTAACTGTTGTAAGGCCTAAGTTTATAAAATAGTTTTATTGGTACTTAGTCTGATATATTATATGCTGGCAGATGGAAGTGGACTTGAAACGTGGAGAAACTCTCCCAATCAACATAAACATGACATTCCCATCTTTGCCTTGTGATGGTTAGCCTTTTCTAGTATCGTGTTTAATATTTAAAACACCTTTTCTCATGTGAAATTGTTTGCATTGATATGCGCTTCTAAAGCTCATTTTGTTTGTTCACATATCCACTGGCGCCTTTTCTAAATTATTTTTGTTCTTTACAGTTTTAAGCGTAGATGCTATTGATATGTCAGGGAAGCATGAAGTGGATCTTGACACAAACATATGGAAGGTTAGAGTTACTCCTTTGTTTATTTTGCTAATATAATTATCTCTGCCTTAATATTTTATCGGCATATTTATGCACTTAATCACTACTCAACTCCTGTAAACAGTTTATTAGTTTATGCACAGTGGTATTCTGACATTTAAACATAACTTGTGACAAGATATGCGATAGATCCCTGTTGCAGTGGCAGAAGAGAAAGAACCTGAACATTAGTAAATCACCACAATGCCAATATATATTTCTGTAATTGAGGAATACTTGTAAGAAATTGAGACTGTAATACAGTAATTCAGCAACAATATGTAACCCTATTGATCTGTAATTAATAACAAAAAATAAGAGGATATTTGGACTTTCGAGAGGTCTAATGCTCTCCTCCAGACTTTCTAATTTTCCAGCGTGACTTCCTTCTCCCCTTCTACTTGCTTATATTCTTGTGGTTCTGTAACAGCCTGCTTAACTGTTTCTGTTGTTCCTGTGATAGTTGGTTAATCCTTTATGATCTTCCTTTTCTGCCCTTAGTATTTTCTTGCATCATGAGTATTTGAATTGGATAGGAGGCCTATCAATTTGCTAATACCATAGTTCATGAGCAGTCACTATTGAAATTTTCTTTCTTGATTTCCTTATTATTTACAAAATGAATTTTGAAAAAGAGAAGTTTTATGTTTAAGAAGTGTGAGTTTTGGCTGAACCGAATATTATTCTTTGGGAAATGTTGTTAGATCTCGAAGAATAGAAGTGGACCTATTAAGGTGGAAGCATTCTTCAATTGGTCGAGACCAACAAATGTAGGAGAGGTTTGTAGTTTTTTTGGTATTGGCTTAGATACTATAGGAGATGCATTAAGGGATTTCTAAGATTGCACGACAATTATGTGGTGAGCTTGTGGAGGTATATTCGACGAGGTTGGAGCGACCTTCGGGACAGGTTGACTTTTGTCTTGGGGAATGGTAATAATATCAGTTTTTGGGATGACTGTTGGTGTGGAGATATACCGCTAAATGTGGGGTTTCCTTCCTTGTATCACATAACTATTGTGTCATTTGCTATGGTGAAGGACGTTTTAGCCATCCACAATGGTCCGCTTAAGGTGGGGTTTCCTTCCTTGTAGCGCATTACTTTGGCGTCATCTGCTATGGTGAAGGACGTTTTAGCCGTGCACAATGGGAGTTACAGTTGGAATATTACCTTTCAGAGGGGTTTGCAGGATTGAGAATTAAATGATTATGCACTGTTTTTAGCCCAGTTGTATGATGTGAAAATTCGGGTTGGAGAGGAAGATCGTAGCCGATGGCGGTTGGCACGGAATGGTATTTTTTCAGTTTACTCTTATTTTAGGTCCCAAAACTCTTATTTTAGATCCCTTTTGGGACCTATGGAGAGTTCAATCCCTTGGAAGATGGTGTGACAATGTAATTTGCCTTTACGGGTGGCTTTTTACCGTGGACGATTGTCAGGGGACAGGCATTAACGATGGATAACCTCCGAAGAAAAGGTTTCTATGTAACCGAGTGGTGCTATATGTGTAGGAGTGATGGAGAGACGCATGACTACTTGTTCATTCACTATGACGGTGTTCGTTGGCTGTGGAAATTCTGGCTTCTCAACATATAGGTTGGGTGTCACCTAGATGTATAGAGGACGGTTGCGGGCATGGAGGAGAAAGTTTCGTGATAAGGATAACAAACTTGTTTGTAATCTTATCCCGGGATGTATTATATGGTTTGTGTGGAGAGAGGAACAACTGATGTTTTGAAAACCAAACACGGACCACAGAACAATTTAGAGAATTTTTTTATTTGACTTTGTATAGTTGGTTTAATGCTACAACTAGTAATCCTATAGAGGGGCTGCCTAACTTCATGTCATTTCTTTCTTGTTTAAGTTGATAATACACTTCCTGTGTATTCTTCTTTGATTAATAAAATTATTTGATTACCTATAAAAAAAATTATTTGAGTATCTTTTAACAATCCATTATGTTACGGATCTAAATAAGATGTGATATGTAAGATGGACTAGAGTTGTAGTCTTACGCGTGTAATTTGAGCCTCTGAATTCACATTTCTCCCCCTTATAAGTTTGATTACGTGGTATTCATTAATTGGACGATATTGAAGGACTATGCTTACTACTTGTTTATTAAGATTTCATCTCACCACTCTCTTTCCTTACAAGAAATTAATGCTCTAAGGCAATTGGTGCTTGGGAGTGGCTTGTGGTGGTGAAATTCAAGAAAATTATTTACGAAAATCTCTTTTTATGAATTTCATGGGACTTCGATGATTATTATTAAAAACTTTTATCTTAAATCAACGTCGTGGATATAAGACCTTTCTTTTTAGTATTAGTATTTTGTTTTCTTAATGGGATGGTTATTGAAGTTTAAATTTTCTTCTAAACATTGTTTGATTATTTCTTTTTAGGTGTAATACTACTCATGTAGTATGTTTAGTGGCACTTGGTCTAGGGCTCAGGTCGTCACAAGCTTAATTGTTATTAACATTCAACTGAATCTCTCAAGGGAGAAGCCTTGATTTCAAATCACTAGGGACGTTATTAAATCCACCTTGGGGCCGAACCCCCAGTGGACTGTAATTGGGCTAAAGGAACAAAACGAATCCTACATTGACCATGTCGGGGTTAGGAATTTGGTGAGCCATGGTCTACAGGTGGCATCATTACAATAGGAAACCATATGTATAACGACCTGGGTCTCTATACTCAAACCGTTAGCTTATGTACCGTCCATTTTGGGTGGGCTTATGCCCACTTATCCCCTCACTGCATTCTATCGCGTCCCCCTATATTCGAACCCAAGACCTCTACCTAATAAGAGACTTAAGTTGTCCAATTGGTACCAGGATTCAACTTAAATCTCTGCGCGTTTTTTTGTAACGACTCGGGTCTCTATGCCCAAATTTTTAGCTTACATACTGTCCACTTTGGGTAGGTCTATGCCCACTTATCCCCTCACGGCTTTCTATCACGTCCTCCAGGATTCGAACCCAAGACCTCTGTCTAATGAGAGACTTAAATTGAATCTTGGTATCAATTGGACAGTGCCTTTTATTTGTAATGACCACAGTATGTAAGCTAACAGTTTGGATATATAGACCCCGGCCTTCACAAAAAAAAAACACGCGTTTTTTTTAATGACCCGAGTCTCTATACCCAAGTCATTAGCTTACGTATTATCCGCTTTGGGTGGATCTATGCCCATTTATCTCTTTACGACTTTCTATCGCGTCCTCCAGTATTCGAATTCAAGACTCTTGCTTGATGATAGACTTAAGTTGAATTCTGGTACATAAGCTCACCCAAAGCGGTCAGTATATAAGCTAACAATTTGAGTATAGAGACCCGAGTCGTTAAAATATATATGTGCTGACTAGATCATCCTCGTGCATTTTCACTTTTACGGTGTTTGGAATGCATTGGATTTAGATTATAATATTTCAATCTTATGCATTTGAAACTTTTCAATATATTTCTTCAGCCACTTCCCTAAATTTCCTTCGATTTTGTCTTGAGCTTGTTTCTGTGAAGCTCTACAAGGCCATAATATGTTGGAATTAGTTATATACAAAATGTAATTTTTGGTGGTTGAGGCTGAGTTAAGTGCCCTTCTGATTCGAAGAATATGTGTAGACTGATATCAGATTAAGCCTTTGTTTGGCCCCCATTAAATTACATTACATTACATTAAATTTTTCTCTTTTCATTTCAATCACACATTCATCAAATAAAATAATATTACACACAAATCAAAAAAATTTCAACCACACATTCTCCCATCAATCCCTATTCTAAAAATTTTTAACCTCCAAAAATGCAAAATAATGGGGGCCAAACAGGGGCTAAACAATGTGGAATCAAATTCTATTTTTATATGCTTGTAAAGTTTTTTGTTTCACCTCTGCTATGATTTTCTTCGTGAAATTCGAATTCCATAGTTTACGTTTTGTTTCTCAATATTCTCTGTATGTATGCCATGCTTAAATAATTGTTTCTCACAATGCTAGTATTAATTGTTCTGCAGCTGCGTTTGAGTAATGATGGCCATATTATTGGCACAGAATATTTGTCAGACCTAGTGGAGAAGGAACGTGCAGCTCATGCGCATGGTTAGTTCGTATGTAATTCCATTTGACGTAAAGATTAGTTTTATTCTTTTCTTTCCTCCTCTGATGTTTTCTGTAGTATGTAACTGGAAAAATTTAACTTTTGCCTGCAACCTTACTTTGCTAGATGCTACCTGAATCACATCAAAAGTGGCTGCGATTTTGCAGTTACATATGTATTTGTTTTTTCAGAAGGTAATTTTTTGAGAGGACAAGTTTTAGGATGCTATCCCAAGTTCATTGCTAATAAAGCTTAGCTCCTCCTCGTTGTTGTTGGATGTTTTAAGATGCCGCCCTTGTAGTTGATCATTGTCTGGTGAAGTGAAAATAGTTGTAAAACCAAGACTGCCTTCGGTGAATTATGACTGGATTTCTAAACTTTAGGCTAGCAACTTGCTTTTAATAATTCTGAGTGTCATCACTTGTGAATTATTATTTTCTTGTGATGTTACTATGATATTCTTATACCATGTATTGCTGATGCTTAACAACTAAAATATCTTAGTAGGCAATTGAAATGGCATGTGTCTAGTGTTAAAGATATAGGTACTTGTTTGGTAACTTACAGTAAATAAAAATATGGTTTCAGAGAAGCTCTTTCGTTTTATGAGAACATATCTGGCTGTGGAATTTTGTGGTTAGTAGGGGGCATAAGATAATTGTCACCATGGAAAAACTTTAAAATGTTGTTGAGGTTCATAGGATGGTGAGTCTTTCAGTTTTTTTCCCCATTGGTGACCTGTCCAAACTAGAAATTGTGATGGTGAAGGAATTGGATATGCTATTTTGATATGTTAATAGAGATCAGGATTAATTTCACATTCATATAAATTTTGTGCATAATTTTCAGCTCCTCTGCTAGTTTCCTTGTCGAGGATCCTGCTAGGTCTCTGTATGGAACGACACGGATTTTTGTGCCTTCATATCACTTAACGCTGAGAAAACAATTGAAAAAAATACGTCGCTGCTGTTTAGAATTAATTTTCTTTGGGAAATACATTCAGCATCATAATGTATAGGTCTTTTTACCACTTTTTTCTTCAAGCGTGTGATAATGATGGGATTTGGACTCCAGCACCATCAACTGGATGATCCTTTCTACCGGTGCTATGCATTGGATTTGTTACAATCAAACCGTAAAATGAATTGCTAAATCATCAAACTGGAGCAAGCAGCAAGCTTCTCTTGTTACATAGGACAAGAAAGCTTGTGTTCATGAACTCAGTTCTACATAATCAGTGTGTCGATGACGAAATTTTTTTCATGTTACCCCCTCTATTTTTTCCTTTATTCTTTTAACTGGGATTGAGTCTTCTTTAGTCTTCTTTTTTACTTTCTGTCTGCATAGAGTATTTGCTTTGAACTTTTCATAGTCAATCATGGTCGTTGCTAGCATTCAGTGTCTAAGATATTGTAGATATATTTCGGAATTCTTAAGAGAGAAGAATCAAACTTCCACTGTATGGAGCTCAATTTTTCAGCTCCTCTGCTAGTTTCCTTGTCGAGGATCCTGCTACGTCTCTGTATGGAACTACACGGATTTTTGAGCCTTCATATCACTTAACGCTGAGAAAACAATTGAAAAAAATACGTCGCTGCTGTTTAGAATTAATTTTCTTTGGGAAATACATTCAGCATCATAATGTATAGGTCTTTTTACCACTTTTTTCTTCAAGCGTGTGATAATGATGGGATTTGGACTCCAGCACCATCAACTGGATGATCCTTTCTACCGGTGCTATGCATTGGATTTGTTACAATCAAACCGTAAAATGAATTGCTAAATCATCAAACTGGAGCAAGCAGCAAGCTTCTCTTGTTACATAGGACAAGAAAGCTTGTGTTCATGAACTCAGTTCTACATAATCAGTGTGTCGATGACGAAATTTTTTTCATGTTACCCCCTCTATTTTTTCCTTTATTCTTTTAACTGGGATTGAGTCTTCTTTAGTCTTCTTTTTTACTTTCTGTCTGCATAGAGTATTTGCTTTGAACTTTTCATAGTCAATCATGGTCGTTGCTAGCATTCAGTGTCTAAGATATTGTAGATATATTTCGGAATTCTTAAGAGAGAAGAATCAAACTTCCACTGTATGGAGCTCAATATTTATGTAAAGTCTCTCAAGTATTTCAGCTAAGAATGTTAACACTCTATATCACAGTTCTGAATCTCTGATGAATAACTATGACCAGATGACCACAAAGATCATCATGAGGAGTCTGACCATAAAATTGAACTCCACAGTTTTGATAAAGAAGCTGAAAATATGATTAAAAAGGTGAAGCAGGCACTGGCAAATGGAGAAGGTTGCAGGGTATGCCTTTTTCTACTTCCAATCTCAGCTTGTTCTTCTTTTATTTAACTAGCGGTTTAATTTATTACTTGTTGTAGGTATATGGTGTTTTGGACGTGCAAAGGGTTGCTGGGAACTTCCATATTTCAGTTCATGGATTGAATATTTTCATTGCACAAATGGTCAATTCTCTTTGAACTTTAATTTCTTTTTCTATCCAGTTTTTACATAATAACCTGAATTTTACATGCATTGCAATATTTCATCAGTCCTTTAGCTAATTTAACTGAATGTGTAGACATTACAATGTGAACTGCTGCTAGAAGTTAACTGAGTATATACATCCATGATCTGTATCTTTAACCTGCTGGATTGCAATCATTATTTCTTTAGTGGTATTTGGGAGAACAATAAACAAATAATGGAAATTATTTGGCCTCACGTGAACCCAGATAAGGTTACAAAATTCAATGACAATTTTCTGTCTAGTGTGCATTAAAATCCTGATGGAGACGCTGGTGTTTTAACTTTTCCTATCACTACTATATAAAGGTAAAAAAAAATGTCAAAATAGATGGACGAAATACGGATAGTTCATTTGGGGTCTTCATGGTGATTTTGGGTTTTGCTACATGTACATTTGGGTTTACACCCTAGTGTACATAATAATGCCCAAGTGGCATTTACATATTGCTCAAGTGGCATTTCATTATTGGCTGGTGGGTGTAAACCCTAATGTACATGTAGAATAATTCGGTGATTTTATATGAAGACGTTACTATTATGATCTCATTTATATTGAGGAGATGACGAAAGTTAGTGCACTTGACGATAGACCTCGACCGTCAAATTGGGTCCTTCAAAAATTCTGGTTTCAGCAAGATGATAGGTGTGTCATGTGATAGGTATGAAAATGGGCTCTTACAATTATTCAAGGAACTGGAGGCTAGTAGGGGATAGAGGTTGGGTACATCAGGAGGCAAGACAAGAAGAAAGGGTGATCGTGAGCTTAAGCGTCTCGAATGCTTGGTTAATTATGATGTCAATGGTGGTGATTCAAGGAGAGGTCAGATAGGGAGGGATGAAGAAATGTTAAGATGACTCTGAAAATAATTAGTTGGAATGTGAGAGGGCTTAATGAAATTGGGCTTAATATGGACCAAAACCACCTGAACAATAATCAAACACCTCCAACCAGAACATATAATTTTAAATAGGGTACACCAACCTCTCAAAAATCAAGCCATTCTAAAACAAAACAAGAAAGTTGAC